AACATGCTATACGAGACAATGTATGTTACTGGGATATGGAACAGGACTTTCGTCCCAATTAACGCCTAGCCCTTATAACTTTTACTAAAACATTATGCACACATTACAAATGTTTAGTAGATGAACACTTGCGCAAATCAATGTTTATGGTAGTTCTAATTCATTTCTTTTTGACTCATTTAAAATTTTTTTCGTTGTGTAGAAGGTCTAGAAAAAAACAGAAATGTCAAGATACTGACCCTGGATGGAGCAGGTGCAAGAAAATTGCCAAAATATGACTGGCCTGAGAGATTGGTGTACCAGACACCAGCAGCACATAGGATAATTGAAAAAGAAGGCGTAATCATGGATGATGGATCACAAAAACTGATAACAAAAAATGAATTGCACGTTGTGGTGGTAAGACCAAAAGCTTATGTTTCTTCTACTGGTACGTCATGGGCAAACGAAACTCATAGGCTAAGATGTGAGTATCCAGATGTTCACGAAGTACCCGTCTCAGGTGATCAATCTGTGTCGTATTCAGCTAATTTTCGGCGATTTTGTGCCACAGTTCAATGTGATATTTTCATGCTGAATGATATGACGATGATGGAAGATCTCCAGAAGATGAAACTGCAGGGGCCTTGCATTCATCAAAGCTATGAATTGAAGCGTTTGGAACATTTTCTACACAGAAAGGAAATTGCTTTCGCTGAAGTAGATCTAAAGAGGGCAGTATTATGTGAAGGCGAAGGAACATTAGTGGATGAAATTAAACGTTTGAAATTAAACGTGACTACTCACTGCAGTAAATTGGCAGAGATCATTAAAGAGGCAAGACGGCCTGAACTCTCTAGTTACAAAGAACTTCAAACGCAAGCACAAGAGGTTCTAACTTTTCTAGAGTCTTTGAGATTGCCACAAGTCAAACCAAGATAGGCAGAGTTTACTGATGCTGGTCCAGGTGTTTCAATAAACAATGGAGATGTCAAAGTAAGAAGTGCAGAGCTAGACAGAATGTACAATAGAGATTTTCGTATCCGGGTGCATCGTTCTCGAGGTGATAGTGGGCAAAACGAAGCCGAAAGAACCAACTCCGCAATCAGAGATGCCGTTGTTGATGGTGCTACCATCGAATGGGAACATTACGAGTGCTTTGATGGTTTACAAGATAATGAAATAGCAGCCATGTCCCTTCAGGATTATGAAATCCACGAAGCCCAAAGAATGGAAAAGAATGCATGGAGAGTTGCCAACCAGCTGGCGGAAAGGATTGATGGCGCACCTGTCTTATCTGAGTTTATTCATGGCTGTGTTTCGGAAAAAACAGAAGATTCATTCTTTTTTAACGAAGATTATCTGTCAAAGTATATGAGTGCAACAAAGAATGTTAGATCACATCTTCCAGGATCAGCTTACTTTAACAAGATATCCGACTTTATGGACACGCATGTCCAATCGGGAGAATTATACAGTGAGTTCCTGAGAGACTCATGTCAGAAAACAGACGGCTCATTGTGTCAATACTGTTCCGAAAATCGTTGGGTTGGACCTGTCATGACAAGAATTCCTAGACCAATTCCAGATTACTCCAAACTAACAGACTATAGTTACAAATCTGTTTGTGACACTTCGGTTTTGGACAGTGATGGGAAGGAACGAGAGCCTGATGACTGGCAACCAAGACATAACATTAGGAAACAGTATGAGCAAAAGAATCTTAGTGCAGTTAGTGCACTTAACCAGTTTGGAAAATCTTACGAAAATCCGGGATCGACAGCGGCAAAACGACCGAAGAGAAAGGCAGCAAAAAGATGTGTCTTCATATAACTGGAAATCGCTTGTGGAAGATGGAAAGCTTGCCTCTCTTACAGTACCTGAACTCGACAAATACCTCGAGCATTATCAGCTGCCCAATAATGGTCGTAAAAACGATAAGATGAGAAGGATAATTGCTCACTACTTCAGCGAGAACAGCGAACAAATTCCAGAGAACTTTGCCATAAATAGAGAAGACGACAATGAAAGTGGAAGCGATGAAGATTTACTAATATATGAAAGTGAGAGCAGTGACAATAATGGGACTAGTGAGAGCGAGGACAGTGCGACGGATAATATTTGTAATCCACCATCGTTAGTATCTCGAAGTGGTCGCAGAGTTGGTCATTGGCGAACCCGTTATGCAAATTAATAAAAAAAAGAGAATATTTAACTGCTATAAAAGAATAGCGTTCTCGGCTTTTACATTATGGTACATTTATAGAGTCATGGTGTAAACGTTGGCAAAACAGACATATATAAAAATATTAAAGTCAACAAATTTTAGACTCAGTGCTATTATTCCTTGATTATTTATATGTGATGAATCTCCTGGGAACCTTAATTTGACAAGTGAAAATGAAAATTGGGGGGGGGGTCAAAGAAAAATATTCTACTATGCAGGGGGGTTACTGTTAAATTTCTGTTCTTTTAGGGGGGCTTTCAATTTTAAAAATTTAGGAAAGAAAAAATTCCCCCCCCCCTTCCATAAATAATGACCGGTCCCTTACTGGACTGTACCAATGATTGGTATGTGAATCTAGACAGACAAATGTTTAACCTAGTAGTTTTAATTGATTTAAAAAAAGCATTTGATACTGTTGATCATCAAATTCTATTGAGGAAGTTAGAGCTATATGGAATAAAAGGACAAGCTCTAACTTTGCTCAAATCTTATCTCACAAACCGAAAACAGAAATGTCAAATAAAAAACTCCTTTTCATCTGAGTGATTGATTAAATGTGGCGTACCACAAGGCTCTCTTTTGGGGCCTCTATTCTTTTTGCTGTATGTAAATGATTTACCTCAATGTCTAAATAAAACAAAACCTCGGGTTGTTTGCCGATGACACAAATCTGACAGCTTCGGGAGATTCTATAACTGATCTTGAGGTTGCAGTTAATTCTGATTTAGAAAGCCTTAGAGAATGGTTAATTGCTAATAAACTTAGCCTTAATGTAGCCAAGACCGAATTCATGTTAATTGGTTCAAAGCAAAAGATCCCAAATTCTCTTCCAAATATTGTCATTGAAAATAAACAAATTAAACAAGTTTATGAGTGCAAAACTCTTGGGGTAACAGTTGACCAGCATTTATCTTGGAAAAGTAATACAGAAAATATTTGCAAAAACATAACAGCAGGAATCTCTGCCATCCGTCGAGTCAAACCTTTTGTTGACAAAGAAACACTTATTTCCATATCTAATGCTATTGTTTGCCCATACTTCGATTACTGCTGTGAAGTATGGGATGTGTTTGGTGAAACACAATCAAAACGACTTCAAAAACTTCAAAACAGAGCTGCTAGAATTATGTTGAATATGAGTAATGACGTAAATCATTCTATTGCTTTGTGTGAACTGGGTTGGGAACCACTCAAAACATTAAGGAAGAAAGCTAAAGCAAAAATGATGTACAAAGTATTAAATAAAATGGGTCCCAAATCACTCACAAATCTATTTTCTTATAAATGTGAGGAAACAAACTATCATCTTCGGACATTTCAACTGGTCTTTGTTTACCAAAACCTCGTTCTAATAACATGAAAAATAGTTTCATGTACAACAGAGCTAAACTTTGGAATTCTATTCTAAAAGAAATTAGGGAAAGCAAATCACTTTCTTCCTTTCGAAATAAAATCGCTGCTCACATTTATGAATAAGTATTGTAAATATTCTGCCAACTATCTCATTAGACATTAATATGTTACTATTTTAATACTCATTAATATGTTATTCTATATCTCTTAAAACTTTTATAAATAGCTCTATCACTTTCCTGTACATGTAAAAATCTTATTCAATTTTTTGGCACACGCCCCTCGTGGAAATCAGCTTCGGTTGACAGCATGTATAAATAAAAGTTCTATCTATCTAAAGTAGTTGTCATGGTAACACAATAATTTTTTAAGAATATTCTTACAAATGAAAAATCACCAAAAAACATCACTTTTAATTACAAAATTATCAATTTCCCAACACATATATGTTAAGTATGTTATTACACGTAATATAAGCTTCAATTTAAGGTAAAATTCAACCACAGATGCTTCGCGAAATGTTTTAAAGTGTTCTTTATAAAACTAAACTGCCCTTAATTAAATGGCTTTATCGATAAACTTTGAGTTTGCAATAAAATGATTTCAAATTCTCGCATGCAAATAATTTTGCCTTCTTTTTTATTTAAAAAATTCAATATAATAAAAAAGGGAATCAATATTAAAGATACACTGAAATTATATGCTGTCTTGTTTAGTTGTTTCATATACGCAAAGGCCGTCGGGTTTTAAACAGTGGCATAGCTAGCAGTCATGCTGGTCATGCTGAGCATGACCAAAAATTTCCCCCAAAAATAAAGAATTTCTTTCTGCTAAAATTCAAATCTTTTAGCTTTCCGAAACTTTCACAAGTACTTTAGACGAGATTTTCGCTATATTATGTCATTTTCGGCAAAATATTGCTCATTTGCATAGGTTACCTAGCAACAAACATGGTGAGTTCATGTGAATTTCGTGTGTATAGCATTTCGTGGTCTGGTCATGCCCTCTGAAATCAGCATGACCAAGTAATATATTTTATAGTAGAAATACTGGCAATCTGATTGGATAATGGCAACTGCGCATGCTCAAACGCGCTGTTTTGCAACATCTAGTCATGCTCATTTTCCAGAGCATGACTTGAGCCTTTGAATCTTTGATACAGTCTTTCTGTTCGAGATAATTCATGCTCGAATACTCCATTCAAGGTAAGTGATTTCACTTTGTATAAATTTGCATTATAATGGCTTCAGGAAGTGTGACTGCTTCCACAGAAGCAGATATTATAAGTGATTTGCTGAAGAAACCTTTCTCTACTCATCAACCGGGCGAGCAAAATATAATTGTAACGCAATGGCCAATGCTGAATTTACAATCGACCACTGGGGATACAAGCTTTCAGGTGAGTTGGTACACAAAGAAAGATTGGCATTGTGGCAGTTTAACCAAGACGGCAATGTTTTGCTGGCGTTGTCTTTTATTTTGTCCTGGAACTTCATCATCATGGACGAAGACTGGCTTCAGAAATATGAAGGGCTTTCTGTCAGATTGCAAAAAGCATGAGAGGGCAAGATTCCACATGGCTGCTTACAAGACCTGGAAAACCTATGGTTCTGGACCTTGTGTGGACTCTCTCATCTCACAAGCCAGACGTGATGAGATTCAGCATCATAATGAGGAGGTAAGGCAAAATAGAGAAATGTTAAAAAATCTAACACAAGCTGTTCTATATTTGTCTAGGCAAGAGCTTGCATTTAGAGGTCATGATGAATCTAATGATAGCTTGAACAGAGGGAATTACAGGGAATTGCTTGAACGTTTTGCCAGAATGGATTCTGTTTTTGAAAGGCAGTTGCATGGAATCTAGCCTGAGAGGGGGTGGGCGGTTTACTGGAGTTTCCCCTGATATTCAAAATGATTTGATTAATTGTCTTGATATGATAATAGAGGATGATATTTTAAAGGAAATGGATAATTGATGAGGTGACTGATGTATCCACCGAAGAGCAGTTGAGTATGATTGTTCATCTGGATAAAGGGAGTGATATTATAGACAGGCAACTTGGGTTTGTAGATGTTAGTTCTGACAGAACTGCAACTGCTTTATCTACAGTTATTAAAGGTAAGTTGATTCAGCATGAAAATATCATGGATAAGCTTATTGGACAAACGTATGATGGTGTCTCTGTAATGTCGGGTCATCTCAATGGTGTTCAAGCTCAAATACAACGGGAGTATCCTTTTGCCCATTTTGTTCATTGTGCAGCTCATAGGCTGAATCTTGTATTGTGTCAAGCTGCATCCTCTATTGCACCTGTGAAGATATTTTTTGTTAACATAGCAATGCTCCAAGGAGGAAAGCATTTCTGTCTTCCCATAACCTTGAGTTTCCCAGTCCTGGTGATACACAATGGTACTATAGAGCTTGTGTCACCAATGTTTTGTATAATAATTATGAGAAACTTATAGAAATATTTGAAAATATTGTTGACAATCCAACAGGGTAGGATGATGAAACACTGAATAAGATGACTGGTTTACTTGGTTACCTTAATGGATTTTTGTTTTGTTTTTTGGTGTTAATTTTTCCGAAGCTTTTAGAGCAGTCATCTATACTTTATTCCATCTTGCAAGACAAAAAGACTGATTTTCAATATGGGATGACCAGAGTTGAAAGATTCAAGACATTTGTTACTTCTCTGAGAACAGATGCCAAATATTCTGAGTTTTATGACAAAGCTGTTGAGAAAGTGGGCCCTCCAGTGACCAAGTATGACCTAAAGCATAATTTCAAACAAATGTTTTTTGAAATTCTTGATTCCATTGTAGGCATGCTGACTGAGCGTTTTCACGATATGGAGCGTTTTAGGTTTTTAGATCTTGTGAACCCAAGGGTATTTAAGACTTGGAATGGTGAAGTGCCCTGAGAGAAACTGGATCTTCTCAAGGAAATGTATGGTGATTTATTTGACATACCAATGCTAGTCAGCCAACTTTGTTTTATTTACAGGGATAAGGACTTTCATAAAGATTCTTGTGGAGAGTTATTAAAATATATTTTTCAGTTCCATCTGCAATCTAGCATTCCTGAAGTAGTAAAGTTGCTGAAGATGAATGGTGTTATATCAGTCACTAGTGCTTCTGTTGAAAGATCATTTTCCTGTTTGAAGAGGGTAAAAAGTTATTTGAGAAATACCATGAGTCAAGGCTGCCTTTGTTCTCTTTGCAGGATTTCCATACACAAAGACATATTGTCAGAAAAAGAAGATGCAGGTACCTTGCATGAAGAGGTGGTAAAGAGGTTTGTTGAAAAACCAAGGAGACTTGCTTTTCTATATAAGTAATGGTATATATAATATAGGTTGGTACCTCATATTAACCCATTAAAGAGCAAGACTCTTCCCTTGACGAGTAAAACCATCTGGCTTTAGACGGAGTCTATTGGGTGCATTGCTGCTTAATGGGTTAATATACATGTTTGTCAGTATGATTTCAGTTTGGTCACCTTTAATTTACAGCTTAAAATTACTTCCATACCGGGGAATATTAGATTTATAGAAGAAATATCCACATGAAGGTGGTTACCCCAAAATATAATTTCATATTTTCATATCTTTCTTTTACTATAAGTCATTATTTAGTATAAATTACCAGAGTTATAGGGGAAATACCACTCAAATGTGGTGAGTCCATGATTTAACTCTTCCTGGGGAGATAACCTCTTGAATGTGGTGACCCCAAAATACAATTCCATATCTTTCTTTTACTATAAGTCATATTATTTAGTATAAATGACCAGAGTTATAAGGGAAATACCACTCAAATGTGGTGCGTCTATGATATAACTCTTCCTGGGGAGATACCCACTTGAAAGTGGTGACCCCAAAATATATTTTCATATCTTTCTTTTACTATAAGTCATATTATTTAGTATAAATGACCAGAGTTATAAGGGAAATACCACTCAAATGTGGTGAGTCTATGATATAACTCTTCCTGGGGAGATACCCACTTGAATGTGGTGACCCCAAAATATAATTTCATATCTTTCTTTTACTATAAGTCATATTATTTATTATAAATGACCAGAGTTATGGGGGAAATATCCACTCAAATGTGGTGACTCATGATATAACTTTTCCTGGGTAACATAATTTCCATGTTATTATTTTACTATTTCTATGTTAATTAGACTTATACAGAAAATTGCACCAGTCTTCACCTCACCGCCGTCACTGGTGCAGAAAGTTTGTCTCGCATTTACATATTAGTCATTTAGTCTATGGCTTATTGTATGCCTGCGAGTGAAGTTATAAAATTCGTTATAAAATTAAACTTGTTTGTAATGTAATTAGTAATGCTGTAGTATTACACATGCATTGTTTTTATTGTGTTTTCCTGAACTGGTTTTGCTTTTTGTATGGAGTTTATTATGAATTTCCGTAAGTTTTGCCGCACAGAACGCAGGAAATTAAGTTCGAGTGACGCTAAATTACCCAAATGTTTTGTATAAATATGAATAGATAAATGTCTGAAAAGGCCGTTTCCGACGATCTAGAGGCCCTAATTTTCAAAATTTCAAAAGATTGGTAACCAGCAAATACTAATAGCATGACCAATCTTTTTTTCCTAGCTACGCTACTGGTTTTAAAGCAATTATAAAATTAATATTTAAAACAAACTTGCCTTTGTTAACGTCGGGTCCCTTTCTTTTAGCCTATTCTTTCACCCTTTCTTTCTGACAAAGCTTTTGAAATTTACAAAATCTTGCAAAAATGCGAGCAAAAATGAAATATATTTGCAAGAAATTTATCAATCATCAAATCAAGAAATGTTTGCTATTTCGCTGTCGTCATGCAGTCGTTATAATGCAAACTTTAAATTGGACCAATCAGTGTCCGCTATTCATGACAGTCCGCCATATTTTTGAGATCAGTGAGGACGACTACCCATTGTTGGTGAGCCACGCCACAATCATTGATGAACTTTAGACTTTGCTAATGCTTTTGTTTCCCCGGGTGTAAATAACCGGGGGGAATTAGTACCCTTGCATGGCGCTTTGTGCCGTCGACTCGGGGATAAAAAGTAGTGGCCCCAGTATATTGACCCTTGGGGACACCAGTTTGTATCATCTTTTCATTTGATCTCACTTGATTGTATTTGATTGACTAAAGAAAATCTCTTAACTTGCCAGAGCTCTTTATTTAAACAAGAAAACAAGGTGATAGCCAAGGTGTTATTGCGAATCGCTTGACTTGCCAGCGAACATTATGCAATAGAAGAGAAAGGCAAGGAGATAGCCAATGTGTTATTGCCAATCACTTGACTCGCCAGTCACTTGTCTAGCACAACAGTGACAAATCGTGTTCAGTGCAAAGAGAACTCTACCAGATCTTACGAGAATCTATCTGTATGAAAGCTTATCAAAACTGCTATAAACACTGCTTTAACTATGAAACTATTGAAATCTAAAGTGATATTATTGAATACATGCAAAAACTTGAAAGTGACTCACGAAACACATTGTGACCTTGGGAATAAGTCAAATGTCAATGAGACCTTGTTATTCTGAAACATGTTACAATCTTAGTACAGAAACAAAGAAACAAAACTTTACTGCATTACCAAAATGCAAAAACACACATGCAAGTATAGTGAAAGAAGTATTACCCTTGCCATCTCCTTGTCCATATAATAATTTTAGTCAAAGTAGATCCCGCAGTAAACATTTTTAACACATGTCAAAAGCAGAGATCGAGAGCTGTCTAGAATTCCAGTTAAAAAGTTAGTTCATTTGGTGAGCAAAAATAGAAAAAGTAGGTGTGTAATAAAACGGTTTATTAAGCAGTGTATTCCTAAGTCATCTTATCTTGCTTTCACAATTTGCTTTCCACAAGATACCGAAAAAGATATAATTCTGCAACAAACAAATGCATATAAGTCTAAGAGAATATGAAGAGTTGTACATAAACAATTGTCAATATCAGTGCACAACTTGGCAAATCTGAAAAACAGTACAAAGTGTGCTAGAACTAGAAAACACAAATTGTTTAACTCTTTCTCGACATGCAACATTTTTCACGGCAAGCAACATTTTGATTCAACTGTTTTATAACGTAAATATTTCAGCGCGTATTCACCCCCCTTAAAAACAAAGAACACCATTGAAATCCTAGCAAAATAAGCTTTTCATCGGGGGGTCTAATGCCATCAAAACAAATACACAAACTGAAACAATCATATATTTACTCACTGCTTGGCCAAACATTCTGTATTTTCATATGGAGAAAAAGTTGAATATTTTCTAAACCTTTCAGATTTTGCCACAAGTTAATATTAGTGAAATATTCCTTGTATTCAAGCGCTTTTATGTAGAAAGTTTCGTTTGAATACAACGAGTAGAAATGTTTATTTGGAATTTTTTAGTATATCGGGTTTCATCGGGTTTTTACTCGCACGCGCGTGCTGCATGTAAAATTGGCCAATAAGGAGTATGCCATAGCCCAATGCACGTGAAAATCACGCTCCAGATGTAATTTGACATTTAGAATCGATTTCCAATGTTTTCCGAGCGCTATGATGTAAACACGCAATGTTTTGGGTGATCTAAAGTGTATTTCCGGTTAAAAATATCCCGCTGATTTCAGTAGTTTCGCAACAGATTGAAATACCGAAATAAAAGACGAAAAACTAAGGCTACAAGCTTGAAAATAACACTTTCAATAGTGTTTTGGATTCTGTTTCGAATAAGACTATAGCGAAAACGATATCTCAAAAGGGGCCGAAGTTATGTTCAGCGAAAGGTATGGATAGTTTACATTGTTCAAGACAATTTGATTAATATAATGAAATATGACACCGCTTGACCTGTCAAAA